AACACAAGTGTTCATGGGGTTTGCAGCCCCAAATAGGCTCCTGAAGGGCAGGGCGACCAGTAGTGGGGTGCTTGGAGAGGATGAGGACAGGGCTGGGGTTCTGAAGTGCCTCAATCCACCAGGGGCAATGCCTTACCTTGTTAGTAGTGAAGGAATCCCACACGATCACCTTCCCATCCTGGAAGGAAATGAGTAAACAGCTGAACAAGCTAGAGGTCACCACTGGGGAGATGGAAGGGGGGGAGGGGCAATATAGGGGTAGGGGATGAAGAGGTACAAATTGTTATGTATAACATAAGCTACAAGGATATATTGTACAACACAGGGAATACAGCCAATATTTAATAATAACTATAAATGGAGTACATAACCTTTAAAACTTGTGAGTCACTATACCTGTAACTTATATAATATTGTACATCAACTACACTTGAAGAAAAACAAAAAAGAGTAAACAGTTCAAAAATTGTCAACAAGCCCTAACACGTTAACTGCTGAGAACCTCATGGAAAGCCAAGTCCAGCTGGGCAGTGCCAAGTGGAAAGCCAGAGCAAGTATCTGGACAATCAAGACCCTCCAACCCATCCTTGAAGAAATGGGAGTAGGTGGCGACAGCACTTTCCAGCCTGATGCAAGTCTCAATTCTCAACCTTGCATCCCTTGTGTAGATACAATGACAGAAAGCAACACTCAGACACTTCTTTTAGGCCAATTATAAATCAAGCACAAATTGTTGGTAAACTGTCATCACCATCGTACCCCGAATGTCAGTAAGTTATACAGGGATAAGGTAAAGCTGAAATTACCTTCAGATGCCTGACAGTAACTAATGGTCCCCTCACCCCACCTCCCCAGCCTGTCCTCCCTACCATTCGCCTGAGTCCACGTTCCCTGCAGGACCGTGTAAGAGCCCCTCCCAATCTTCGCCCCCCTCCCTGAGTGGAAGCTGTGGAGGGGGACTGGGTGGGCCTGACATCAGTCTGACTCCCCCAGGTGCTCAGGGACATCACAGCCTCACCCCCACCCACCCTGCAAAACAACATGGGACTCACACCTATGATGGTGGGGACCCCCGTGGGCAGCTGTTCCAGAAACAAAGAGCACTCCCTGTGGAGGGTGAGCTCTGGGCGATGCCACAGACAACAGGGCCACTTTCACTGCAATCGCTCTGCAGCCCAAGTAGGGAGTGTGGGGAGGTGCTATGATGCCATCTGTTTGTAATGCAAACCCATCAGAGATAAACCCACGTAAGACCCAGTCACTGCAGCGCAGTCATCTACCCAGAACGTGGTGTAAGGGTTGTCTGGGCCCCCAGGCTCCCGCTGGCAGTGGAGGAGGACGGCTGAGCTGACCTCCTTCAGCACGTGGGTCCCCCCCCACACACATCCTCAGGGATGGAGAATCTGCAGCCTCTACCGCAGGCTTGATTTTTTTTAATCACTCAAGCCATTTGGAGCCAGATCTGGTGAGTGAGGTGAATGCCACTTAGGGGCACCAGCAAGGTCTGAGTAATGAAAATGACACAGCTGCTTGCTTCACTTGATCTGATGGAGGATTTCCATATTCACGCTGCATGGGGCTGAGAGGCCGTGATCAAAGGCAAAGTTGGTGGTTTGGGGCCTTTTAAGACTCCTAAGCACATTTGTGCTTCTAATTTTTCTGACTAAACGCCCATACATGCTGTGTGGGTGAATTAGATAACAGAGCAGAGGGCTGCGGCAAGGTGGGGGCTAGAGACTCAGTGTATCACCCAAGTAAGCATTCCCTTCAGAGGCTTCCTCCACCGCACAGCCCGCCTGCCTGGCTCCACCGCCCACCTACTGTGCGCTCTGGAGAGAGAAAGGCAACCAAGAAGCTAAAAGCAGTCTCATAACTAAATGTGGTCCCTCCGTGAGCACAGACACCAGGGGCCTACGTACCTGGAGAGACTGTGCCTCCACCCCAAACCCCAACCCACTCAGTCAGGCAGATGAATTTCCTGCCTTTTAAGGCAGAAAGGCTGCTCTGAATCACTCAAAGTCTGTTCCAGAGCCCTTCTGCTGTTTCCCACCTTCCTCCCTTCCGCCACCCACCTCTCAGACTCCCTCTGCAGTAGAGGTGGATGGATGGAGTCAGTCAGCAGTGCTGAAGCATCCCTCCTCCTCTCCCACACTCTCTAGTAAGAGTGGTACACGAGTGACAGAAAGTCCAACATATGGCATCCTTTTAAGGATAAAAAAAAAAGTCTAAAAGGCTAGGTGGCAACATGTACATCTCAACGACCACTTTGTCAAAAGGAGCCTTTGGAAAAAAGTCTAGAAAGAGGTGCCCTAAGATAATAATGATTGTAACAGGGTGGTAGGGGTAAAAACCTTTTCTTTTTTCCAGTTAAATACATAACTGATACATTAAATTTTTTATGAACATAAAAAAAGCAAGTGCAACGTGATATACTAGATTTGTAGGTAGTACAGGAGATTAATAACACCTATCCTATCAAACATAGTACCGACAGACATTAGAACTCATGGATTATTTAGAATATGTACAGTTTTGATACTTAAAAGGGTTATAAATAAAAACCAAATTTTCCTTTGAAAAAGCTAGACTAAAGGCAGAGGCAGGGGTCGGGGGGGGCGGTAAACTGGCCATAAAAATATATGACTTCAGTTTATGGTTTTATGTTCAACGAATGTAACATCAAAATAGACATAAAAAGCACTAAGCAGTGGTAGCTAGCCTCCTGAAAGACATGTCCTTGTCCAGGCCCCTCCCTCATTATATCGGTGTTGGTCTGTGTGACCAGTGGAATGCAGAAGAGAAGGAATGTCACTTCTGAGGCCAGGTCATCAAAGACAGCACAGCTTCTGCTTTTGTCTCCCTCTCTTGCTCTGGTGGAGGCCAGGTACCATGTCGTGAGCAGCCCGATGGAAAGGTCCACACGGTGAGGAGCTAAGGCCTCCAGCCAAGAGCCATGTGAGTGAGCCATTTTGGAAGTGAGCTTCTGCCTTAGCCAAGCTGTCAAATGACTGCATCCCTGACCAACATCTTGACTGCAACCTTGTGTGACACCCTGAGCCAGAACTATCCTACTGAGCTGCTCCTGATTCCTCACTCTCAGAAACCATGTAAGATACGAAATATTCACTGTGTAAGTTGTTAAACTTGTGGGTAATTTGTTATGTAGCAGTTTAATAACTAATACATAAGATGTAAAAATAAACCATGTCAACTATATAAAATGAATGAAAAAATTATACTTCACAAAATACATAGTTTAAATTTGTTCTTTAAGGCATAAAAACTGCTAAACTCTTAAACTGAAAGAAGCCACAATGGCACTTCAACCACTTACACCCTCAACTTGGAGGAAAAAAAACCCTAATTTAAAAATGGTTTCACTTACAAATAAGACCTTGAAATATACTCAGGAAGAAAATTTTTGAATGGTTTGTAAAATAGAGTTTATAATATTTCAGTTATTACTAATTTCAAATCTACCCAAATTAGTGAAGTTTTCAAGTACGCCAGAGAATTCTTACCGGGGTAACTCGTGTCCTTTGGCAAACAGGCAGAGACATAACATTCGGAGAGGGTCTTTTGAAAAGGACGGCTCTTGCCCTTCAGCTTACAATCAGAAATGTGCCCACCATCACCTGACAGGTGTGACGTACCTGTGAGGAGCTCACTATCCTCCTCTTATCCTTGCACCAGTCCATGCACAGAACCTTGTTCCCGTGGCCTTTGAGGGTCCTTCTGGTCTTCATGACAAACTGCCCCAGGGCCTCCACGCGCTCGGCCACCTGGTGCACTGCAAGGACAAGACACACTCAATCCCGTGACCAAGGACCAGGTCTGAGCCACAAGTTGGCACAGGGAAGCCATCAGTGCTTCATTCTCCTGCGCTCTGCCCTATTGCCCTCGCGATGCTGTCTCTTTCAAGCTCAGAAGGTAGAGACATGCTGTCATTCTCTCTGTGTTTAAGACCCTACATTTATAACTTATATAATAATATTGTGCATCAACTATACTTCAATAAAAAATGACCCTGTTTTTCAAAGCACTTCCATATATGCACGTTGAGGGAATAAGGACAGGACTGCCTCACATTTGCAAAGTTCTACATAGAACTCTCCCACTGAAGGGCCACAGCTCTGCAAGGCGGGCAGGTAGGCAGTGGAGTGAGATCACTATTCCCTTTGAATGGGTGAAGAGACTGAGGCTTACAGAGGTTATCCGGCTAATACGAGTTCATACAACTGACCAGGAGCAAAGTGGGGGCTTCTGGTTCTTTTACCTACTACTTTCCAGTCATGAGGACAAGTGACTTTACAGAAACTGTCCTATCAGGTGCCAGGACGTGCACCATCTGCTCAACAGCAGGCCCTGTGTTTCCTCACTGGTCCCCCCCATGCCGGGCACGGGTCTGGGACATGGTAATTGCCCAATCCACGTGCTACAGGAAACAGCAAATTGACTGACCCTCCAAACAGTACACTGTGGATTTACTGAAAACTCACAGGGCGGGCAGAGATCAACGCAACATTCCACAAGTCTGAACACATGATCTGCAGAAGGTACACGCCTCAGGAAGGCACTCCAAAAATCAATCTCTCAGGGGCTAGGAACACAGCCTCTTTCCTGAGGCCAAGGGAGAGCTTTTGGGGGGCTTTTGGAGAGGCTGTCAGAGGGAGACAAGTTCACGCGAAGTAGCAGAAAGGGCCCCAGAAACCGTCCAGTCCATGCCGCCATTGTGCAGGTGAGGAAACTGAGGTGGGGGTCATGTGGCTTCTGTCCCCTTGTGCGGCGCCACTCCCTTTCAGGTTGGAGGCTGCGCCGGGCTCCTAACCCCACCTCTGCTTCTCCTTCCTCTAAATCTCTCAGCTGGGCCTTTTTCTGGGCAGGTGGGGAGGAGGGAAGGGGGCATTCTAGGCCAGGGGACAGCCCCAGGAAAGGTGTGGTGTCTTGGTACAGACAGAACACCACGGGTAGAGAGAGGCAAGGCACCGGCTCTGGCCTTCCCAGGGAGCTGCTGGCGCTCGCTGGGGAAGTGCCCACCTCCCTCACTTGAAGCCTGGGCTGAGGGGCTGACTCTGTGCTTTAACCTTCGTGACAACAGTGCCCCTTCTCAGGAAATCCTTCCTTCCTTCTTCCCTGCCCTCTTCCCTTCCTTCTCTTTAAACATTTCAGTGTGTATTTCCTAAAAACAAGGAATTCTCTTGCATAACCACAGTATAACTATCAAAGTCAGAGAACTGACACTGAAACAACAGATGTCTAAATCTATAGACCTTATTGAGATGCTCTCCTTTGTCCCAACAATATCTTTATAGCAAAAGAAAACCTAAGATCACGTGTTGCAGTCACTGGTCGCTTTCCTTCATCTCTAGTTATTTTGTTCCCCAACCTGGGCTTGTCTGATGCTTCCTCAAGGTTAGCTTTGGGTAATGCACATTTGGCAGGGACACCACAGACTAGCGCTGAGGTCCTGCCCCGAACACCTGTCCCGTCAGGAGGCACCTGCTGCCTGCTAGTCCCATCACCAGCAATGTTGAGTCGGATCATTTGGTCAAGGTGGCGTCTGCCAGGGTTCTCCACTGTACAGTTACCTTTTTGCCTTTTGTCATGAAAAAGTACTTTGTGGGGATGTACTCTGAGAGTACATAAACATCACGATACTCCTCAGACTTGAATACCCTACTTTTAACATCCATTCATGATTCTTGCCTGAACCAATTATTATGATGGTTGGTAAGTGGTGACTTTTCTAATTCCATCATTCCTTCTGCATTTTTTAGTTGACTTTCTAATATAAAGAAGAGTGTTCCTTCTTCCCCAATGTATTTACTCATTCGTTTACATTAGTAGGGACTCATGGATTCTCATTTTATTCAAGAAGTTATAATCCTTTACTACTATTTATTTTGATGCCCAATTCATCCCTGATTTGCTCAGTGGGAGCCCTATCAGGCAGGCTCCTGAGACCTTCCGACATGTCCCCATCATCCTTGGAGCACGTCTTCTTGCGGGCTCATGTTCCCTCCCTGCCCTAGCCCTGGAAGCAGGCATTTATTTCTCCAAGAAGTCTTGGTTTCTTTTAGTTGCCCCATTTCTTTGTGACGAAATAAAAATGAGCGAACAGGTTAAAAGTCTCTGTGAAAACCCACGCTGTAAAAAGTACATGCTAAACTTTATAAAGTGCTACACGAGCGTGCAATTATTATGCCATCACTTCTGCGAAGACACCGCATTCTTTATTGCCACCAACAGCACGTTAGTCTTTTATGGAAACATTCTTCACAAAAACATATTGAATGCAATTTAAAAACAGACTGAATTTTTCTAATTTCCTATAGGCCTTTTACACAAGCCTATACCAGCTCAGAGCTGTGAGCATATTCTAGTTAGTATTTTACTTTGAAACTTCATATCAGTATTAGTGCTGCTTCCCCCAGTTCAGCATTAGGACAATCATAGCCATTTAATGTCACTCTTACCAAAAAAAAAAGATGACTCACCAACCAAAACAGGGCCTCCTTGAAAAGCGTGAATTTGAACACATCCCAACTATTAATTATTTTTTCTCACTGCATTTTCTCTTCCCATATATAGATTCACTCCCAACCTACTCTATCCTGTTTCTATCTGCCAAATCTCACATCTGCCGAACTAAAGAGTTTTTTAAAAACTTTAAACACCAGAAAGTAAAAACCAAAACCAAAACTGGAAATGAGTGGAATATGCTCTGTAACTCATTTGTGGGAGCTTGGTTCAGGACAGATGTGGTTTCTCTACTTTGCCTTCTGATGAACCACGCCTTCAGGATTTAACTTTTTCTTTTTTTAAAAAAGAAATGATGAACACGGCTAGTTGGTTTCTATAATAACAACTTACTAGAATAGAATGATAGCCTGTTAAGAAATTCCACTAAAAGGTAAGCGGCAGGAGGATGGAGTGCTGTCTTGTTGGATCTCCTTGGAGCATTCACTGCAACAGAGTGGTCAGGAGCCCGGGCTCTGGGTCACAGTCCCGCGCAGTCGCACACCAGCTGTGCAACCGTGAGCCTCCGCTCACCTTCCTGCCCCCTCGCTTCCCTCATGGGGCTGTTGGGACAACTATCCCAGCCTGGCTCAAAGGGAGCACTCAATGAATGTTAGCTATTACTCTCCAGCTTGGCACACAGTGGGTACCCAGTAAATATTTATTGAAAGGATAAAGGGAATGCTCAGTGATTACTAAATTTCAGTCAACTGCAGCAATCCTAGGCAACAGGTTTTGGTGGGCTAACCTAACTTTTCAGCCCCTTTCCCTTCTTTTTCTGTACCTCTCTCTACCCCTAATCCATCATCTCTGCTTCAGCTGCCAACCAACTGCTAAATTTATCAGCGCAAACTTGCTAGCACTGGCAGTGGGAGCCTCACTTGTTTCCTGATCCAAGGAGTCCAAATCCATGGGATGGAGCCAGGATGCTGCATTTCCACATGCTCCCCAGGTGAGTTATACCCACTAAAGGTGGAGGTGGGGCAGCTCTGAGAAGGTTCAGAAAGGCAGCTTCTTGGATGGGAGGGTGGGGCGGGGAAATGGGGCAGATAAGGGGAGGATTCCAGAGTCTGTGGTTGAGAACACAGCGATGCCTCAAACCCCAACGGACAATTCAGAAAGGAGCTGGTTGGGGAGAAAGCCATAATTCAAAAAGATACGTGCACCCAGCACCCATACGTGCACTGCAGCACTATTTACAATAGCCAAGACAATGGAAACAACCTAAATGTCCACTGACAGAGGAATGGATAAAGATGTGGTACATATATACAATAGAATACTACTCAGCCATAAAAAAGAATGAAATAATGCCATTTGCAGCAACATGGATGGACCTAGAGATTATCATACTAAGTGAAGTAAGTCAGACAAAGGCAAATATCATATGCTATCACTCATATGTGGAATCTAATTTAAAAAAATGATACAAATGTACCTATTTACAAAACAGAAATAGACTTACAGATATTGAAAACACACTTATGGTTACCAAAGGGGAAACGTGGTGGGGAGGGATAAATCAGGAGCTTGGGATAACATACACACACTACTACTATATATAAGACAGATAACCAACAAGGACCTACTGTATAGCACAGGGAACTCTACTCAACATTCTGTGATAACCTATATGAGAAAAGAATCTGAAAAAGAATGAATATATGTATATGTATAACTGAATCATTTTGCTGTACACCTGAAATTAACACAACATTGTACAACAACTATACTCCAATAAAATTAAAAAAATAAAGAAAGAAAGGAGATGGTTGGGAATTAAGATGGTAAGCGCTCTTTCTTATGAATGATGTGCAGGTAGGGTAGTTGCTAGAAACTGAAAGCCATGGCTGGAACTCAAGAAGAGGGATAGAGCTGGAAGTATAGGCTAGTAACTGTCTACTGCTTGAATGATGTTTCCCTCCTATGTGCCAAATGCTTGGGTACAGAAAAGAAGAAGACAGTTCCTGCTCTTACTGGGCTCACAGGCTGCAGGGCACGGACAGGCCAGCGCACAGGTAACCACTGCAGTGTAGTGAGAAGGTAGCTAACAGAGGTGTTGGGGAGCCGAGGGCAACATGGCTGACTCTGCTGCAGGTGCAGTCATTGGAGGAGACGTCACAGGAACCTGGTTTTGAAGGATGCATAGGAGTTGGGGTAGGGAAGGGGGAGGCAGGAAACTAGTTTCTTACCATGTGCTTTTGTTCGTTATTCAGTAAAATAGAAGACATGACCTAATCCATGGGGTGTGCTGTGGTTTAATAGGGAAAG